GAGACTCCATCTCAAAAAAAAAACAAATATATATACACACACACACACACACACACACACACACACAAAATATATATATATATAAAATACGTATGTATATATAATATATACTTAATATATATAATATAAATATATCTAGGGGCACTCATTCATTTATAAACTTATTTATCAAAAAAAGCTCTATTAGGTGGGAACTATTATTACTCCCATTTTATGAAAAAAATGAGCCACAGATAAGTTAATTAACTCACAAGGTCATACAGATAACACAGGCAGAGTGTGAATTTCAACCCAGGCAGTCTGGCTTCAATGTCACATGCTTAATCACCATGCTAATCTGTCTCTCAAAAGAATATCCTTAAAAATCCCTAGAAACACAATGTGAAAAACAACATTGTGACCTTTGTGGGAGCAGTGCTGGGAAAACCTAAAGCTTTGCTGCACCTAAGAACCATCTTTCCCTGAAGAACTGTTCTTCATGTTTTACTTATTTTAAAAACAGATTCTGAATCTCCTTAGGTGGCATTTTAAGATTTTTAAAAAATAATAATTGTTGTATTTTTTGCTGTGTCTCTCATGAATTAGGTCCTTCCTTTTATTCAAGTTATGAGTTTGAATTAACAAAAACTAAATATAATAATTATCTAGTCACATATCAAGGTAATAATAGAATCCAGAAAGTTAACTCAAATGTTTTGTCTGTAAAGGGTAAAAAATAGCTAGGCTGCCAATATTTCACCTCAAACATTAACATTAACAGTTTTGGATTTTTCCCTCTGCTCTCTCTGGAATAAAAAATACATATATTTTACACATATTCCCTTAACCCATACTCCCACCCCACCTCCAAACTCCACACAAACAAACCAAAGCATCAAATCATCTCTTTTCTCCATTGATCTTGCACAGACTTTTCTTCTGTGGCACTCAAGACTTTCTATTTTGTACTGCATTTACACACATTCACATCTTGTCTCCCCTTTCTAGCTCAAGTTCTTTAATGGTGAAGTCTACAAATGATTAATGTGTGCAGTCCTCACATTGCATAACCATACACACTTTTTAACAAATGAAAGAGATATATGATAATCAATAAGAAAACACTGCCAATGCATTAGCCAATACATGGAACAAGGAAAGAAGTTTGCACGGGAAGATACAAAGTTCTCTAGTAAATATGTTGTGTTAGAAAACCCATGTAGATGATAGGTCATCATCTAGAAATGTTCTACTCCAGAAATATTCTATTCCAGAGCTAGAGACAAAGATTTAGGGATCATCCAATTTCTTTAATTTTTTACAGGGAACTCTGTCTCTCTCTCTCTGTTAACTGCTGTCAGCATCCATCAGGATCACTGAGAGAGCAAATTCTCAGTCAGCAGTCTTTGGGTCAAGGTCCATTAAGAGGAAACAGTCTCTCTGGGAAGCTAAGGGAGACATAAGGGCCTGTATCTGTGAGGCACAGAACTGGGACATCTCTTTATTTTCATATATATGGAAAGGCTTATGCAATTATGAGCTGACAAGTCTCCAGATCTG